CGTTACTCCTCATTCGTTATCATCGAATCGCTGATTTTTTTGCTTAACATAAATAGTGTCCAATTTGATTTGTAAAACGTCCATTTAAAATGAAACTGGTACCTATTATTGTTATACATATTATTAACGTTATAACTCTTGTTGCTTTACATGTTAGTTCTTAGCTTAGTGTCATTAAGGTTAGCGACTTGCTCCAAAGTCTTAGATAGGAAGTTTAGTCTGTATCGTATTTGAAATCAGCATCAAAAATGTGCCCTAGAAAATGACTCTGTTCCAATGTACAAAAATGTTTGTGTACCAGTACTATTCTTTAATAGAGATTGGCATAATTCTTTAAACCAGTTAGCGCTCTAGTTCCACTCGCCCAACTCACGTTCTTTCCATCGGTAAGTCGTTGCGAACACTGACCACTTAACTGGCGATGCTCACACATCAACAGCGCGTCTCATTCGTGTCAACAACAAACGTCTAGATAGCCACACTTTCTTTTCTCATACTTGGCCACTCATTCAGACTTTCTGCACTGATAATTTATTCAGTCACTTTTGAAGCATGTTCTCGGGTCATCGCGTGACCCTACGATACTACATTCCACTCGATGGCCAGGTGTTTGTAATCATGCAGTGTCTGTGTGCTTCATTGACCTCTTTTCACAAGGGACGTCTTTCTTAGTTTTCGGCTGTTTGAAGACAAAGTACCACTAAAACTTTCTACCACGTCACTGTTGCATTTTCGCGACACCCGTCTTATCTTCTTCCACAATTTGTTTGATTCGGTTGCCCTAATCTTTCTCCTCATAGCTTTACTTATGGTTACTTGTTCACCCGTACGTGTTGTATTTTACATCTGTGGTTGAGATATGTTGTGTATCATACAACGCACCTGTGCCTTTTGGCGAACCTCATTTCTCTTGACCAATGATTTGGTACTGTTTTCTTCACGTTTCAGACCGTAATCAGCACACATGGACTCCCAAGAGTCTCCTGCTGCCTACTACCGCTTGGGTGCCGGACAAGCTGCCTATTGGCGTCGGAAGTCGAAGTCTCTTTCGGTTCTCAACATCGTGCTGGTCATACTGCTTGTTTTGTGCACCTTCGTCCTATTGTCTGCAGTTTTGCATAGGCACAATGCGGGGCGTGGCCCGTGTGTTTTTCCCGGACCTGGGTCTCGTTGCTTTTGGCCATTCGCTAGGCACCACACGGTTCTACTAATCAGCATGGACGGTTTTCGACACGATTACTTGGAGAACGTTCGCGCCCGGTTAGGCCCTAATTCGCTGCCGAATTTTGCTCGTTTCGAAGCCGGCGGTATAAGAGCAAATCAATCCGTGAACATATTCCCCACTGTTACCATGCCAAACCACCAGACTCTGCTCACCGGTTTGTATGCTCAACATCACGGTATTGTGGGCAATAACGTACTTGATACACATTGGCCAAATCTTTTACTATCTATGGATAATCAAACCAGCCTAAACGAAGATCCATGGTTGGATGACTGGCCCGAACCGATCTGGGCCACATTGCAAAAGGCAGGTGGGTTGGCCGGTTCTCTCTTGTGGCCCCTTACAGACAGACCGGTGGACAATGATTTGCCTTTCCAGCAGGTCTCACAATTCACTCTGTTGGATAACAATATGATCCGGTATCCGTACACGAAACGGGTCGACGACCTTCTTTGGTGGTTATCTAACTCACGCTTTCATCTGGATTTAATCATGGCTTACTTCGATGAGCCAGACGAAACTGGACATGCATACGGACCAGATAGTCCCGAGTTGGCTGATACGGTTGTCCATTTAGATTCCACCTTGGGACGTTTTCTGGATGGGCTGGAACATCACGGACTATTGGACAAAGTCGACATCATACTCACTGCGGATCATGGAATGTCCAGTATTTCTGCAGATCGCTTGATTCCCCTGGATAAATTCGTGGACCCTTCTCTCTATCATTGCACGCAATTTTCCACCGTCGGTTTTCTCTATCCTGCAGCGGGTAAGTCACTTCGACAGTATTTTCCTCTTCGCGCAATACATCATGCACCTGGTACACTCCTCCAATGTTTATGGTAATGAGACTGTTAACGCCACATGGCCACAACAAACAATTTTTTCTTCTCGGACTGGACTTCCAAAATCTGGGATCCTGTTGCTCTTGAGTGTCATCCAGCATAATCACACTTTATAAGACTTCAAAGTGACATACTGTTGCATCGGGTAATCCGAACTTTTCATCTGACATTCGTGAAGCGGCTGTCACGTCTTTGCCCCCACGCACACCGGCCTATCATCACAGAACCTTGGTCTACGTCTACTCGCCCCCCTATTACACTTATGCCTCAGTACCAACAATTTGTTATCTTGGCCGGTGTCATCACTCACCTACTATTTGTGAGCGGTTCTTCTCAGTTCAGCCGATCTGCTGTGATCCGAACACCGATATGTAGTGAGTGTTGTTACCATAACTCGCGTTCTCTAGAAATGTCATTGCTAATTCACAAATATTGGCCAAAAAGCGTGAATCTGTCTGCTTAAGGGGTTAATAGATAATCGAATACAATCGCGCCGCACCGCGTCCCTCCTCATTCAAGTGACCGGTCCTGATGGGCACGCATACAACCGCATTCAGTTTCTCTGAGAGTTTCTTCACATCCTTTTACTGTCATTACCTGGCCACCTTGGGGTTTCCTCCAACTGGACACAGTATTAGTAAACAATACGAACGGAAGCAATCAACCGGAAGGCACATGACATGGGTGCCCCAATTCGACATCAACGCGTCTTTCGGCAGATGGCGTATGACGTATTTTCGGTACTACTCATACGCACTCCGACCTACGAGCAATAAGTAGTAAGCATCAGTGGGCAGTCCCTCGCTTTCTTCAATGCACCGTGACCATGAATCTGCTCCACACACTAACTCTGGTCAAATTGCAGCTTTTCATATCTTCCCCCCAGTCAGTAGTCTTTTATCCTTCCGTTTCTGTTAGCGGGTGAGACTTTGGAAGCCCCATGGATTTTGACAGTACATTCGGTGATCTATCCGGTAGTACAATCGCAAGAGGCAGTGCACACATCTACCTGAATGAGTGAATCGATCCACCAGTCCTAGTTCTTCGTTTATTTTGGGAACTGACACTGTGTCCACCCAGTCTTGTAAAAGCACATTGCACTTGAAAGGTGCGACGCACATGCCGTAACGTGCTAATATCTGTGTTGACCTGTTCGGCAGTTTTTAAACACTTCTGCGTCCGACGCAAGAAGCAATATGCTTCGCATATTTAAAGCCATTGAATCCCGATTCCACTTATCCGACACTTATGGCTAACTCGGGGATCTTTTTCTCCTCGGTATGGAGATTGGAAGAATGGAAAACATTTTTCCTACGCACCCTTAAACTTTCTGCATCACCACAAACAGGTGTCGTTAGCCTGAGTTGCTATCTTACTTATTGACCTTTGATCGCCTTACTCGCTGTGTCGTCCACTTGGATCCGGCCTCACGCTCAGAAGTCGAACGTGAGATCAAACTGTTGAAATTGAACAAGGCCGCAGGAGCAGAGAGACTTCCTTCAGTTCTCTTCAAATTCGGGGGGTCTGCTCTTGTAGTTAGATTTTACAACTTGATGGTGAAACTGTGAGCAGACTGTAGGCGGCACTCCGTTATAAACCCAATTTTCAAGAGAGATTCACCTTCGGGTTGATTCAGCCACAGCGAAATCAGTCTAATTTCGAACTCCTCTAACTTGCTTACTTCAGTTGGGCTCCATGAACTGATGGACACTCGTGAAACTCAGATTCGCGAGGAGCAAGCCGAATTTCTCCGAAATCGAGGATGTACTGACCAAATCTTCACTTTACGCCAGTTGTTTGAACATCGCCATGTTTATTTGCGACCTACCGTGTTCCTCGATACAAAAAGTGCTTTCGATTCGGTTGATCGATGGGCCCTTTAGGACTGTCTACTCAGGACTGGTATGCTTGAGAAATATGTAAATGTCATAAGAGTGCTGTGTGCGCATCATTCGGGCAGAGTGAGGGCTTATGGCAAACTGTCGCTGCCCTTTAATATCTCCAGCGGTGTGAGACATGGTTGCTCGCTGTCACCTTTCCCTTTTCTTTGTCATTGACGAAGTCATGGAAATGACATTCGCTGGACACGGTTTAGAAGGTGTGGAGCTACTTCCCGGTGCGCGACTTTTTGACTTAGAATGTGCCGACGACATTGCCCTAATCTGTGACAGCTCCCAAACTTGTCAAGCCCGAGTCCCTTTTGCTGATCTCCGCCATCTGTGGCTTTGGTGCGACATCCCTCTCGCCCCGAAGGGCAGAGTTTACAATGCAACCGTCCGTTCAGCCCTCATGTACGGGTGCGAAATCTGGCCTATCAGATCAACAAACAATGAGGATAGTTATGTTCAACCATCGCTGTCTTCTCAGCTTAGCACTTGTCTGGTGGGAACACAGCGTGAGCAATTAGTGTGTTCGGCGTCCCGTATTTTGCAGGAAGAACGAGTAAACCGCTCACCACCGTTATATCACACACCACGCTCCGATGGCTTTGCCACCCAACACACTGACTCACGCGACGTGTGCTGTTTGTGCGACCGGGGTGTGAGTGGAGAAGTGTAGAGGAGATCAAGCGATGACTTAGTCAAAGGGAATGAAGTCTGTCACTTCGAAGTCGGCGTCGGTTTGCGTCTCCCGACTGCCAGGCTGGGGTCCCAAGGACGATAAACTCGTTTGGTTGGATACGATTGTTGACATGACAAAGAACCAACCTCAATGGCGTTTGTATTGTGAGTTTTTTTTTGCGCCTCCCCTTCCCGCTTTTCTTCCCCCTCCAACGATGATCTCACAATAAACGGATGATATTAGGACAGTCGAACCTGTCCAAGGCGACCACTCGGGGGACCAACAAAAGATGGTCGCTTTGGACAAGCGGTCACCATAGACAGATTCATGCATAGGGGACACTACTCATCAACGATTGCACATGTGTACTACGCTTTCAAATGCAAAATACCTTTGTGCAAAGATGACAACTATGATTAATTTTACTCTTCGAATTAAAGTGAAATAGTACTATTGTATATTATGGGCAATAAAAACGTGAAAATATTACAATACATGGGTAGACATTTTAGAAACCAACCTGCAAATCCGCGTAGTCCACAAGTTTTAACAAAATCATTCACACACACACACACACACACACGCTTCTATTGTCCGTATCATTTTCCACCAGCTGAAAAAACCAGGTATAGAGGTCTGTTGCTTTTCAGTTAAAATGAACGATGAATTTAGTTTTTCCCTCAGGTTCTTGATAAGTTCAAGCATGTCGGTGAGTTCTCTATTGCGTAGGAGCGCAAGATATCAACAGCATCCTGTGCGTCTGTGAATGTGTATACGTTGGCAAGACGTCTGTAGACTCGTACTCATGTTCGTCGTCTGATTTGCCATTCACATCCCTAGCTGCTAAAATTGAAATTGCAGGAAGGTCCCAGTTTATTTCTGTTTTGGCACAAATTTGGAGATTTGTATCAACCATTGGACTGTCAGTAAGTTGACATCCGAACAATTCCTTTGCAATGTTATCCATTATAGTGTAAGTTGCAAGGGGTGCAATCTGTTCATCTGCATTAGATCCAGTTTGAATTTTTGTCTCATAATTCATGTCCGCAGGAAAAGGAAACCCTGCTTTTTAAAAATATTTGGAGATTGTTGAGTTCTCCACCTCCTTCCACGCGGCAGCAATCCAGAACACGACTTCCAATAAATTTACTCCTTTCATGATTACTGATCCTGGTAGAAATGATGAAAGTTTGATATGATGTAGGGTACTTTTTGTCTGAGTACGGATTGGGGCGTTACGAATTGCACCAGTACACTCTAGTTGCCCTTTTTTAGGCTGGGAACCACGGTCGAGCAAACTACTCTCTGGCTTAGCATCCATCGACACATGTGTGTGGTTACTCGGATTGATTACTTTCTTACCAACCCTGCATATGGTGACATATATTCACTCGAAGGATTGACAGGCTCGCGGAAGAAGAGTTTGGTTATTCCCTACCGGTTGTAGGGGCTCCAGATGAAACATTCAGCTTACTTAGTTCGTCATCTTAGATATCTTAGGTGCAACAAGTTTCCTTCATTCTTAATTGAAATGGGGCGACTACGCCGAACCGGATATGATTGGATACACTCTTCTCTTTATGAACAATTCCCTCGTTCGGTCACGTTTTGTGCAATTAACAGCTTACACTTAACTTATCTCTCTGAAAGTAACACAGCCACTGATCTAGTTCCATCAGGTTGACGAAATAGATCTGTCTGGGTGTTGATACAAACCTTTCCCTTAAATAAACGGGTGGAATCCCAGTCAGTAGATGTCAAACAAGACACACAAGGTGTGTTGACCAACATTTACGTCTGCAATCACTTGGCCCTGACCATCTTTGTGGTGTACACTCGGCCAGTGTATCTATCCTTCAGGCTTCATCACCGTGTGTAAGTACTGTGCTGAATTAGATGTAATTCGCCACACTATTCCCAGAGTCTGAACTTGGCATGCCTTGCATTGAAGCTGAATCTTGGCGTGTGACGCCTTCCTTTGATCTACCCACACCATCAGTCGCTAGAGACAACTACTTACCTGCCACACTAGCGCCGATGTCCGTCACCTGATGCTCTACGAAGCCGCGGAATCTTATTTTGGAATTCCAATCTCCTCCCGATCGAGCGTTCTCCTGTACATGCAGTGAAACATGTACCCCGAACCTGCGAATCTTGTTTCTGGTAGCGCGCTGTCTTAATTTACATATCATTTACCTCCAAACCTCATTGATCATGGTTTAATTTTTTTCTAATGCTGCGGAATCTGTCAGTCATGCAGATACACGCTGCGATCGCATTTGCAGACATCCAACAGCACGTATACGCAGTTCACCAAATCATTAATTTGCAAATGCCGTTGTAGGCACATGCGCATGCATAC